AAGAGATCTTGGGCTTGTAGCGGATCGCTCAGTAGAAAAGGTCCGGTCAGTGTGTGGCAGCAGTGAAACGTCCATGCTGGGGATTAGGAAGACCAGCCAACAAGCTTCGGGCTCCCATAATTCTGTTATGAGAACTGAAATTTCCTGGGAAGCAAAATTGCTGAGGAAACAGCACAGGAGAAGCTGAGGCTTGAGAGCCAGTCTGGTGTAGAGTGGTTAAGGGCGCAGAGGACTCTAATCTGGGAGAGCCGGGTTTGATTCCCCACTCCTCCTCCACTTGCACCTGCTGGGTGACCTTGGGCAAGCCACAGTTCTGATAAGAGCTGTCCTTGAAAAAGAGCCGTTTCTGTCAAGAGCTCTCTCAGCCCCGCCTCCCTCACAGGGTGTCTGTTGTGTGTGTGGGGGGGAGGGGATTGTCGGCCGCTCTGGGACTCCGAGTGAAGGGCCGTGGGGTATAAATCCAATCTCCTCCTCCTCCTCCTTGAAAGAATTAAACAAAGGCTATGGCAGTGAAGAAGCTTGAGAGATGTCCCTCAACGCACTGCTCAGCAAGGGTCCTCCGATAACAGTCCTTCAAGTACACACACACACCCCTCCCCTGGGAAGCCAAAGACCAGCCCTCAGCCCGGGATTGGGAGGACATCAAGGCTCAAAGGTATCTGCATCTTTTGCATTTAAGAGACAAAAAAGAAGTGAGGGGTATTTTATGTGCAATGCACTTAAGTAAAGTATGGCAACCCAGCGTAACTCTTAAGAGACGCCCCTGTTTGCTCCATTAGTATGAAGGAGAAAGCTTTGATTTGCAAAGAAACTATCTTCTTAATGTGATTGACCAGTGTGCAGAAGTTCCAGCTGAGCAGAGAACAAAACCAGCCCAAGGGAGGAGATAAAATGTTTCCAAGGTGACCAGAGAAGGCGGCATATTAAAGTGAAAATGCTTTGAAGCTGGCAGGCAATGGAGGAGTGCATTGGATCAAAGAGGGGAGAGCCATAAAGCTGCGCCGCCGTGCAGAAAATCTTAAGTGATACAACCGGCAAGTGAAAGACGAAGCTTCGATGCTGGGCAGTCACTTGACAGAAACTAGAGGGAGTTCGAAACCAGAGTGTCACAAGCCGCGGGGAAAGGGCTGCTATGCTGCAAAAGACCACAAGGAGGTGTGACGGCGGCAGCTGCAGTGAGGGGGGGGGGTCAGGGTTGTTCTCGATGAAACTGAAAGAGCGCAACACCAGTCCTGTTTGCTGCATCGAGGCCAAGACAACAAAGCCCAGTTTTCCACAGGAAGGCAAGAGGAGAGCAAAGCACCCTCCTCCTACATGAACATCTGTGTGGGCCCCCCAAAGCAGACACAGGCTGCTGCTGCTGCGGCTTCTTCTTGTTCAGTCACACAGTCGAGTCCGACTCTTCGCGACCCCCTGGACCAGACCACGCCAGGCCCTCCTGTCCTCCGCCGTCCTCCAGAGTTTGCTCAATTTCATGTCCGTTGCATCCGTGACGCTGTCTGACCGTCTCATCCTTTCCCGTCCCTGTCTTCTTTGACCTCCCATCTTTCCCAGCAGCATCAGGGCCTTCTCCTCCAGGGAGGGCTCCCTTCTCATTGGGTGGCCCAAGTCTCTGAGCTTCAGCTTCAGGTCTCCGACCTTCCAGGGAACAGTCAGGGCTGATTTCCTTTAGGACTGACTGATTTGATCTCCTTGCAGTCCAAGGAGGGGCTCTCAGGAGTCTTCTCCAGCACCCTAACTGGGCGGATGTAAATATTGCCTATCCTTTATAGATGACTTCTTGAGATGTGCAGTCACCTGTCTGCTTAGTGAGAAGTTACAGATGCTGGAGAAACCCAAGGAGCACGCTGCCACCATGAGCAGCAGATCCAGGAGGAAGCTGAGCACCAACAGAGGCAGGGAACACATAGCAAGAGCTGCCCAGTGGTTCCTGCGGGAGCCAGGTATGGAGCGCCAGACCACGGTGCCCTGCTCTCCAGGGCAGAATGGCCTGGCTGAAAGCAAGAACCAGGATACAGAAAAAAGGCACCCTTCAAAACAGCCTATAAAAAAGTGCAAAAGGGAAAAAACCTCCCCCCCCCCCAGCAACAATGAAAGATACAGGGAGCCTGTGACCTTGCAGCGAGTGAGCCTGTTAGACAGAAACTGGCGTCTTTGTGGTATTTTAATCTTTCCATTTTATTGGTGGTTTGATGGAAGCGATACTCCTCCGTGTGCAGATGGGGGTTGTGGTGAAGGAAGTGCCCAGCTGACGCCTCCTGTCTCAAGCGGCCTGGGCTCGCTCGTGGGATACGTGGCTGTTAACTGGGCAGGAGATGGTGCCAGCAGTAAGTCCTTCAGTGGACACTTGTATTTCCGTGGAGAAGGAGCTATGGCAAGCCGCAGTCGCCGTCTCCTCTGTGGAAGCAGAATGTGTCTCCTCTGCCCAAGCCTGCCAGGAAGTACGGTGGTCAATGCTCCCTCT